GCAGCATTTTGGATTAACTGAAGACTTCTTAAAGAGTTTTCTGGATGTCCAGATAATAAAGAAGTGTCTCCCTCTGGTGTTCCTGCTCTGCCTCACGTTCTCATTTCAGCCCTCAGTCTTTCAGTTCCTTCCAGATTATTCTCTCACACCTGTCTGCACTTCCACTCAACCCAGTCCTTACTTAACCAGTCCTTTTCTTCCACTTCCTCTATGGAAGAATTATCCAGACTTTAATCAGGAGCGGACATTTTCAGTTTGAGAGCAGGATAGTATGTTTTTGCTCTCAAAACTTTAYGTATTTGTCCTCAAAACTTAAAAWGCTCACACTCAAAACCTCTGCTCTCTTCAAATATGCTCTGCTCTCTCTCAGACCTTTCCTTTCTCGCTCAGAATTTCTCCTCACGCTCAAACTTTCTGCTTGTGGATTTCTCCTGCGCTCTTTCCGATCAGGGAGTAATGTCTCCTAGCAATCATTCCAGCCAATAGAATGAAAGCATTAAACTGGGCGGAGACCGCCTGCTCTGGGGTGCGTTTGTTTCCTTCCATTGGATGTGCCTGTGTGTGGATGCATAGATTTTTGCATCTGCTCTTCCTGAGACCCGGTTCGTGATTTGTGAACCAACCGACTGGAGCAGCTACGGTAAGTGTAGTAAAATGAAATCTGAATAGTTTTTTTTTTTTTGTTGGGGTTTTTTTGTAATTACGATGGACAAAGAGTGGCCTTGAAATATTTTTGTCTTTTAGTTTGTGTGTAGTTATGATTAGGTTAATGTTGATAGCCAAGTTAGGAATCTTTAGAGTTTTTAGTCGCCAAATGTAAATCAAGTTGAGTAAATATGAATAATGATAGGTATGTGTCTTTACTGTGTGTGCTAACCTCATGGATAGACTTCTTTAACGACTACCAGTCCGCTATTAGCTGCTAGCAAATAACATAAAATGGTTCATTTAAAATATTGTAATAAAAAAATAAATACATTAAAAAACAAAAAGCTATTATAACCTCTTCATACACTGCTAATACCTAACATGAGAAGAAGAAATATAACTGGTTTGATTGTTTAAACTCATTTTCTGGGGCATTGTTTGAATAAACTTTTGCAATATCACAATACAGTATATATTTATATCCAGTGTTGGGTTATTTTTTCACCAAGATCTTTCTTTGATGATGGTAGAATTCAGATTACAAATTAGTTCGGATCAAGCTGAATCAGATCAGAATACTCTGATTGGGGTGTTTTTATGATGCGTTTTTATTTTGAATGTCTGTTTAATCTGATTATTGTGTCCATGCAAACATAGCCTTGTTGACTAGGTTAGTTTTTGTCTTGTTCGGTACACTCAGTGTGACCTGTAATGTTTTATTCTCTTTTACAGTCTTTGCCGTCTATAAGCTCAGATCTAGGCCTCGCTGAATTCACCAATATTTAGTAAACGAGAGCCTCCAGGAGGTGGCTACATGCACACGTAAGTTATGACTAATTACCATGTTTGTTTGTTACCTGGTTTAGTAATCTGAGTTATGATGGTTTTATTTGTTTTTCTGCTTTTCTTAAAGTTCTGACGTCCACATGTTCATGGTGCTGAGGTGAATCCACTGCTGCCACATCCAGCCCTGTGTCTGGACATAACATCCAGCTTTGAACACAGTTCATTCTGTTTCTGAAGGGTTTTTTTTCTGGTGAGTTGATGAAAAACAATACTTTTTGCCACTGTGCAGCTTTAGCTGACTGCTCTGCACCTATGATGTTTTGTAGCCAGTGTTAACTAGCTAGGTTGTATTTAACTGCAGCTAGCTTGT